AGTTGACACAGCCATTCAATCCAGCAAACCATCTAACATTGCGTAATAGAAATTAACAGGCAAATTGGTCCAAGGAACTGTAGGAAGATAAAGACCAGTATTTTCAGCTTAATCTTGAAAGGGAATTTTACTATATTTGAAGGGCACAAGCAAAGCTTATTTCCAAAGGCAAAGATTCTGGTGGGCTGGAAAGGAAAGAAATAATTTGTAACATCACACTCTGGTATACTAAAAGACTGATTTACTTAGTAAATCCCCAATACCAAATTGCTGAATTGAAGGAACTTTAAAAATATGTTTGTTTTCCTTTTTTCTGTTTTTTAGCATTGATAGAAAGTCTAACATGAATTAAATTGATAATAACTGTTTTTTTTTTATTGTTCATATAAATAATGGTTACAAAAATCCATTCCACCTGCATGTCTTGCAATGGATAAGTCTAAGAGTTAACATCAGTGCTAACTTGTCTATTCCTTCCTATTAATGTGTTTTCTCAGAGTCTCAAAGTGGTCAAGTAATCAAATACTCCTTTGAATTTAAATCATCCCAGACCATTTAACGTGGTAACTATCTAGTGCTCAAGGACTAGGTAAAATTATCCTGTCTGGGTGAGGTTTTCTAAAATTGAGATTCCTCTATATTTATTCTTTAGCTTTGCAAATGCTATAAATTTGTCATCTTGTTGTATCCTCTGATTGGAAGAATATTTCAAAGAAAATATCCCATTTATCTTTAGCCTTGAAATCTTCTGTTTGGAGATGTTATAGTTATTTAAAGCACATTCTGAATGTTCCTTGCTTCATTCTAGTGGTTGAAAATGGAGGACCCTTGTCCTGGAAGTGGACAAAATAAGGGTAGTTTGTTAAATTGGTTGAAGAATGTGGAGTTCAGAGAGGCTGCTGTATTTGGACCTAAGGTATATTAATACTTCAGGTAAGTATAATTCATCGAGTTCTGTTCTCTCTTCTCTGCATCCAAGATGAGTTGTGTTAAGGAACGTTATTTCCACGTACAGAGAGCATAACTCTGGATGAGGCCAGGCAGGAAACGAGGCCGGAGGAAGCTATAAACACGCATTCATAGTGACGGGGCAACCAGCTATGTTTGTTATATTCCATCAGCCCCAGGACTGGTGAGACGCTGCTGCTAATTCTTCTTAGGCAGCAAAAAAGATTCAAGGAAAGACAGGAAAAAATTGGGTGAAGTGTAAGTTTTACAAGGGATATAGGTTGAAGGAGATCAAAGTATTTATTTACTGTGTGTAGGGTAGGAGGTTACTGCTTACTAGAAGCTGAACACTGTTTCAGTGGTTGAAGTTGGGCTGAACTCTTAAGAATTGAAGGGAGCTTAGGAGCCAAATGGTGAAAAGCCCATTTTATGGATGAGGAAAATAAGGGCAAATGAAGTGATGTGATCTGCGGAAGGGCCACGTGTAGGACCCGGCCTCAGGAAATCAACCACACCGAATGCTAAGCAGAAAGCCCATGTCAGAAGAAGCGGTGGCAACTGTTACATCTGAGAGATAGGAAAGATTTTCTATGTATACCTTGTCTCTGCCTAAGGAGAACGCAAGCAGGTCTATCACGCCTGTATTACCTTGCTGCGTGGCTGCTTCATGAGAAGGGTCTTCTCAACTCCTTCTTAGTTCTGTCTTTCAAACACTCTGACAATACTCCTTTGTTTTGTGATGTTTTCTTGTAGATAAGGGCAGGTATCACCTTGAAATTCTGTCCATGGCTTTTTAGTTGATGCCTTAATTAAATTACCTACAGTATAAATTTATCTATATTCCCAGCTCAACGTAACGGGGATGATGCTCATATTATTTCCAGCTCTGGCCTGGCTCTTGCCTCAAATTTCCAACTGCAGAACAGGACATGTCTTCCTGGATGTCCTGGCATTGCTTGGCCAAAATGAACTCTTACCACTACTTCCAAATCAGCTCCCCATTTTAGCTAACCACTCTGTGCCTGAAGTATTATTATTTTGGTCTCATTGATCCAGCTCTGGACTTCAATGTCTCCCGTTAAGACTGTAGCAATAGCATTCTAACTAGCTTTCCTGCTTTTAGTGACCCAACGAGTCCACCTTACACACTGATGGCAAATGTCTGTTCCAAAGGGAAAGCTCCAATCATATCATTCTCCTGATCAAAACCTTTCAGTGGTTTCCCATTACCTGCAAAATAAAATCCAAACTTCTTAAGAAGTCAAGCCTAGGTTAAGAAGTTGGGTCATAATTCAATCAATATTTATCGAGTGCTAACTGGATGCCATGCACTGTGCTCGATGCTGGAGACATGGCAGCTTAACAGGACACAACCCCTGCCCACAGTGAACTCCCTACTCTAGGAGAGGGATGCGGAACAGAAAACAATCACATATAACATAGTGTGTGTATGTCAGGGGCCATGAAAGAATTAGGGAATGCTCTGGGATACAAGAGGAACAGCACCTAATCCAGACTGCGGCAGGGAGAGGTGGAGGAAAGGAAGGCAGGGCAGAATCAGGGAAGTAGGGATGGGAGTCAGGGAAAGCTTTCTTGGAGGAAGGAGCAGAACTTGAAATATGAAGAGGCAATTAGACAAGTGTGGGAGGGGTGGTGAGTGACGATAAATAGTGTTTCAAAGGGAGGACCTAGGCTGTGTGGCCTTATCTCTGAACTCCTCCTCCACACAAACTGGCCTACACCTCCTCCTGACACCTTTCCTTACCTCCCTCTTGCTCACTTTCAAAGCTTTCAAAGTGCGGCTCCATTACCAGACCCTTGAGCTTTGTTTGACAATCCAGCTAGAAATTGCCGCTCCTATCCCTCAAATCTCTTGGCCCATACTTCTGTAGCTCTGGCATGTTGATGCTCAGGGAATACTCATGGAATGAATTTCTACTGCCCCCACCTAACTGTGGTCCACAGCATCTCATGTCTGGATTAGTGCAGCAGCCTTAGCTGGCCTTCCAGCCTCCTGCCTCTTCCATTCAACAGGTGGGCTCTCTCACTGTCACCCAAATATACTAGGCCAATGCTGCTCCAATTACCAGAATGTTCTCCTTCTCTTCTCCACCTACTCAATTCCACCCATCCTTCATGTTCCAGACCAACTCCATTCCTTCTTCCCTGAGACCCATCCTACTCCGCTCTCTCCCTTCTCCAGCTTCCTTTTGCCTTTAGGGTCAATGCAGTCCTGTCTCTCTAACTGGACAGCAGTACCCTGTCCAGTTTTCCACGTGGCCCAGCCTGGCACAGACTTGACAAAGTGGCAAGGAACTACTGACAGCCTTTTGCATATCCTTACTTGCAGCTTTTAGCAGAGAGAACCTAGTTTCATAATGAAGTTGAGAGGTCACCGGAGAGAAAAATAAATCAGCAATAAAAAGGAGCACCCAAGACACGATGAGGGGGGAATTTACAAAGACTTGGGGAGGAATGCTTGCCCAAGGTCTAAGTCAAATCAAGTCAAAACACATCACTGTGCTTTCCTCTGTTTGCCTCACATGAATAGTTTCTCTGGAACCCTAACGAGCTAGCGTTCTTTTCCTCCAGATAGGTAACTTGGCCTCTTTGAGTATAATATCTTTGAGTTTCCACTGGAACAGAAAGGGGAAGTATTTTTGCATTAAATTAAAAGGAACTATTTAGGTTCCTTTTAGGTTAGTTTTATTTATTCATATGGTTGTTTTACAGTTTTCTCATTCTGAGACCACAGAAAGAATCAATGATTTGAGACAAAATGTTTCAGGTATGTTTGTGTCCCTTATAAAACCTTAAAAACAATCTGTTTTTCAGAGATATAAGCTCTCAAGTTTCAATAACATCTATACTTCTGGGGGAAACTTCCCCTTTATCATTTCCTCATATAAACGGTCTGCTGCAGTTGGGAAAAGCAGGGGAGGTACTGTTCTATAACCTAATCTCACCCCCTGTGATGAGGGACGTTTCCTCATGACGGTTAGTTTATTAACTTCTGGCAGGCCTCCAGGAGTAAATAAGGGTTGAACGTAGTTGGAGACTATGCCAAGACCTTTTGCAGGATCTTTACCCTCTGTCAAGAAGAAAAGGGTCTCCACTAGACAAATTACATCCAAGTTGGGGGCCGCAATGAGACATGATAGAAGGAGGGCCCACTGGTACTTGAATAACTAGCCTCTCAAGAGGAATAAACCTGACACCAAAGTTCCCCTTTGACATACGGAGTTCCCAAATTGATATCTTCTAAATATGCATCAAGTTTAAGAAAGGAAATTGGAAAGTATACTTGAAGTCTTATCTACCTCAGCAACACACTTGGCAGGTACAAAACACTCCTTACGGAATTGAATCTTCCCATGTGGTCTTGGGAACCCTTATTTTGACAAATCTTCCTAGTTAGATGGGCCTGAGGAAACTCCACTTGTGTCTTTCAGGATTTCTACAAGCTACACGACGCATTACTTCAAAAAATTCAGTACTTCCAAAGGAAATCCCCTGAAGCCCCTTGAATTGATTTCTAAACTTGCCTTGGCCACTAGCATCTCCACCTTTCCCAGTCTTGATCTCCTGTTCCCTCGTTTCCACTCTCCTTACTCCTCCATCTTCCTCAGCGGTGCTCATCCACCTTCTCTCCTGTCTTTGTTTTTCACTGAGCAGTTCACAGCCTCCACTCATCTCAAGTATCTCTTTTAAAAGTCTTCAGAATCAGGAGCAAGGTAGAGTGAAAGGACCAGATGGCATTTTCTTCTTTATTCTGCGGCACAAACTAGATCCTCTAAGTTCCTGTGTCTGTAGGTCCTAACTGGGTTCCTTCTCCTAACGCTAAAAAGTTTCCCCTTGATCTGGAAATTCTTCCTCTTCTTCCCTCAAACCGGCTTCTATCAGCAGGATCTTTCCTCTACTGAACTGGGTCACTGTCCTCGGGCTCATGGTGACCTACCATGGAGATTTCTTGGCAGAACGAGTGGTGGCAAAAACCAACCCCCGGCTAATAGATTTTCCAGGCTGAGCGTATGGTAAGAGTCCAGACTCACCTGAATGAGGAGATCGATAGCGAAAGTCTTCTTTGGTCAGCAGCAGGAGAGCTTTGCCATTCATTTCAAACGTGTTGCTGTCAATCGGCCTTAAAGAAAACTCATTTTCAGCCCACTTGAGCCACTGGGCTACGTCATCCCTGCTCCAGTAAATTGGCTGCAAGCCTGTAGGAGAGAGAGTGAGGCAGAAAGATAGAGAGAGAGAGAAAAAGGCCTTGTCAGTTAAACAGTTGGAATAAAGGGAAAAGACTTCTGAATGGTTAACAAAATTGAGTCTCCATGTCCGAAGAGCCCTTACGTTCAACTCTGAAACTCGGGTTAAAAGTCAACCTGCAGGGGCCAGACCGGTGGCGTAGCAGTTAAGTGTGTGCGCTCCGCTTCAGTGGCCAGAAAGTTTGCAGGTTTGGATCCCAGGTGTGGACTGACGCACAGCTTGTCGAGCCATGCTGTGGCGGCGTCTCATATAAAGTAGAGGAAGATGGGCATGCATGTTAGCCCAGGGTCAGTCTTCCTCAGCAAAAAAGAGGAGGATTGGCAACAGATGTTAGCTCAGGGCTAATCTTCCTCACAAAAAAAAAAACAACCCCAAAAAACTCAAGCTTCATAAGAGCCAAAATGTGCTATCAAATGAACTTTTTATTCAGAGGCAAAATGAGAAAAAAAATCCTTTTTTATGTCTTTACGGGACTGGAGGTCTTAGAACCCTGCCCCTTGTTGCCTAGCTCCAGGGGCTGGCTTGATGCCAGGTTTGTCCTAAAGGTGCAGCTCTGTGGTGGCCGGAAGCATCTAAGGGGGCTCAGGGTCATGACAAATGTCAATGTGCTTTGGAGGGGACCTTAGAGTCAGAGCTGATCTGATTGTAGCCCAGTGTCCTTTTGAAGTGAGAATGTTCCAGAGCTAGGCTTGACCTTCCAGAGCTGCCAAATAATGAAGTATTCCCTGAAACTTCTTCCAGGAAGAGCCATTCACTCAGCCTCTGGGAAAGTATCAGGCTAGCCTCTGGGAATGAGAGGGCAAGGTAAGGATAAAAGGTCTTTTGCCCTTTTTTCTACTTGCTGATGTTAGAACTTCCAGGTAGGGGTGGTACTTGGACTCTGAGTAGGACAGAAGTAGGCCAAAGGGAGGGCTGAAGCTGAGGCTGAGAGGGTGGCTCAGGCTGGATCTCTGTCTGGAAGCCTGACTGTGAGTCTATATTTTTACTTTATTTGGCTGTTGTGGGAAATCTTTGATATATCATTCCAAATGGTTTAGAACAGTGGTTCTCCAAGTGTGATCTGGGGACCCCTCAGAGTTCCCAAGACCTTTTCAGGGTGTCTATGAAGTTAAAACTCTTTCTATAACAATATTAAGAAGTTACTTGCCTTTTTTCACTCTCATTCTTTTGTGAGTGTACAGTGGAATTTTCTAGAGGCTACACAACAAGTGATATTGCAGCAGGTACGAGAATCCAGCCACCTTTGATGAAGCTAGACATTAAAGAGACTTGCAAAAATGTAAAACAATGCCACTCTTCTCACTAATTTGTTTTTTGTTTTGGAAAATATATTCATAAATATATATTTATGCTAACATATGCTTGGCTTATTATTTTTCAGTAAGTTAACAAGTATTTTTTAAATTCTCAGTTTTAATTTGCAGTATGGTAAACACAGATAGATATAACCCATATGAGCAAAGCTCTCTGGGGTCTCCAATAATTTTTAAGAATCGAAAAGAGTCCTGAGATCATGATGTTTGAGAACCGATGGGTTAGAAGAAACTAGATGCTCAATAGAGCTTTACTCTCTAAAATCGTATGGTATGAATTAATAGTTCAAATACAATGGAATTACTGTTGGCTAAGAGGAACTTCAGTCTCTATTTAGTTATTCAAACCTGCTAAGGAGACTCCATGAGTGTGTTATAAAAGTGTCCTTCAGTTTGATCCTGAAAAGAATCTCCTTTCATCCTTAAATCAAGTATGACAAAGAACTGTCTGGTCTACTTGATGGGCTGTTCTTCTTCCCTGGTGGACTGGGGAAAGAATGGCTCAGATCCCTTGGAGAAGGTCCAGGGCCTCTGGGCATGACTGTTGGCTCTGTCTTCCAGGTGGCTCCTTTGCAAAGTCTAGTTTTAAATAATGGTTGCTGGCTTCCTTGGTCTCTATGGAAGTCCCTTAGAAACTGGTCCATCATGCAGGGCACCAATAAAGAACTATGGGCATTGGAATAATTAAAGATGGGCATGTAAGTGTTTTTTTCCTTGGTGTTTAAGTTTTATGGTTTTCTTTTCATACCGAAAAAAAGTGGCATTATAAAATAATAATGTAGTATGTTACTACTCTATGATCTTTAGAATAAAAAATGACCACTAAAAAATTCAAGGTTTTGTTCTTGACTCTTGACTAGGCCAAGAAGCACTGCCATTAAAAATGGTCCTTGGATGCAGGAGGTGCCCCAACTCTTTTCAGTGACCTTGAAAATGAATATCTGGAATCACAGTGAGGTGGGAGTGGGCGTGAGAATGGCTCAGCAAAATCTCGACTTTTGAACTGGTAAAAAATCTTAAAGTTGACTTCCCATTGTCAATGGTGTAACCATCGAACAGGAACAGCATAGTGTGTTGTGATTAGGGACTTTTCCCTCCCTCTCCTTCACACGTGGAGTATGAGTACTCCCAGCTGTTAGGGGACAAACTCGAGGTTCCAGTCAAGCTTGGCCTAGGAAAGCACCTGGTGGTCAGAGGGCCACAGAGCAGAAGACGCTCAGTCAGAAACAGGAAAAAGTCTGGGGCAGCTTAGTGGAAGTGCGAGCGCTGCAGCAGATGCAGAACTGAATCCCACTCGGGAGGGGAAATGAGAGTAAAATGCTGAAGTTTCTGCAGAGGATTCACTGAAACGAAGGGAGGCGGGTGAGAAGGGGGTGGGGGATGCAAGTAGTAATTTGAGCTTCTTTATATTCTATGGAAGAAAATACTCATGAGTAATCTTTTCCCTAAATACAAGAAGAGTCACACACTCCAAACAGCCCTGCTGGTTAAGAACAACAGTTTCTCTTTTCACTTCCCATTACTCTCTCCCACAGGCCAGCCCCTGAAGCAAGCAGAGCCACTGGGCGGAAACCCCCTCACCAGGAACCGAGGTGAATGTTCTGGGCTTGTGTGCAAAAGGGACCCAGCGAGTTACAGTCAGTCCAGGGAATAACATGGCAATCCTAGCAGTTTTACAAAAGTGACCCCGACAGAGCAAGCTGCCAGCTTGAGGACACTCAACAAATTTATCAGAGCCACTACTCTTCCGTGAGCATAAAGAGAGAAGGTGACACGTTCACTGAGCTGGAAAGAGGGTTGATAAATTTTGGTGTTCAAAGTCAAGTCCCATTGCTATTTCCTTTTTAATTCAATAGGATAAAAAGGTTGTGGTGTAACCAATTCTAATTGAGGAAAAAGAAGTCCCCTTTCTTCAACCCAAAGGGCCCTAAGCCCTGGGTGTTAGTGTCTAAGCGGAATACAGCCTTGGACCCAAAGGCAACTCTGGTCTTATCAGGACCATTTAATTCACTTAATAGTCATTTACTAAGCACTTCTATCATCTAGCACTATTCTAAGCACTTTACACACATTAGTTCATTTAACTGCACGCTCACAGCAACCCTATGAGATAGGGTTTCAGATTAGGGAACCCGAGGCCCAGTGAGTTTAAGGGATTTGCCCAAGATCATACCGCCAGAGGAGCTGAGATTCGAACCCAGACAGTCTGGTTTCAGAGTCTGTGCTCTTATCCATCACATTATGCTTACCCATGCATTTTCCATCCAGATTCAGAATTGAGATTCACTTTCAACATTTATTAGGGATTCAGAAAAGACTGAGTGAAGTGAATCCTCCTCATCCAAGACTTGGATTCTGGAGGCTTTCTCAAGTTATCAACAGCCTAAAAATAGAGCAAAAAAATCTGTAGATCCCTGTAGGTCTAGAAATAGATTTATAAATGGGAAGAGGAGGGAGATGTAGGAGGGACTCTGCTTTGAAAGCATCCAGGAATAAAGCAGCCTTCACTGGCTACTTGCTCATAGACACGCACTGCTCATAACACTGGTCTTGAGACTTCACAGCTCACAGCTGCTTGTCTAACAGCAGCTGCATGTGCAGGATGAGGGAGGGACATATACAGCTCATTTTACAGTTATCTCTTGCAACTTTAACTCAACAGAGGTGAAGAATATAGATGTTAATGATCGCTAGTAAAAAGAAAAGAGAAACCATTATTCTGCATCTACGTTTTGCTACTCCCTGTGCACAAAACAAAAACAAGCCTGTGAGAGCCATAATAAGACTTTATTTTTGGTGAGGAAGATTGGCCCTGAGCTAACATCTGTTGCCAATCCTCCTCTTTTTGCTTGAGGAAGATTGTCACTGAGCTAACATCTGTGCCAGTCTTCCTCTACTTTATATATGGCATGCTGCTGCAGCATGGGTTGATGAGCGGTGTCTAAGTCCGTGCTCGGGATCTGAAGCTGCGAACCGCGGGCCACGGAACCAGAGCACACAAACCCAACCACTATGCCACCAAGCCAGCCCCAAGACTCCTATTTTTAATGCCAATTAATTTCAGAGCATATTTGAGAAGAATTTTGTACAGAAGAAATGAATTGCTATGATTAAGAAAATAACTAAAAATTCCAATGTACTTTTCCCCCAAGTGGGTCAAGTTGAGTTCATGGTGCCAGACCCTTCAATTGCACATCCAGGCCCTTAAACTTCCTTCTAATATTTCTTCGATTCCACGTTCAAAGGAGCAGCCACATTCATCAGTACATTCTTAGCCTCATTTCAGACTTTCTGAGTTATGTTTAAACTAATGATGAAAAGCATGCTGGGAGTCAGGAGCCAGGATTTTACTTCCAAATCTGCCATTTATTAACGTGTGATTCTGGGCAGGCCACTCAATTTCTCTTTGGCTCAGTGACTTCATCTGTAAAATGAGGGGCTTAGAGCATGTGATCTCTATTCCCTTCTGGGTTTAATGCAATCAATATGCTCTCATTTAATTTGAATCCTAAAAACCAAAGAATACAAGTAGCCAGGATCTTTTCTCTACAGAACTACTCCATGCTCACGACAACGACCCTGAGATTTTGTAACTTCCTAAAGGACCTTCTGAATCACAGAAAGCAGATTAAATTACT